AATTAATTACAATTAAAATAAATAATTTGTAATTAAATCTAATTAATTATGATTAATTTAAATATGATTTTTATAAGTTTTATGTTTAAACCTATTAAACAGTAGGATTAAGATAGGATTTAGGGACTATTTAATCTCATAAATAGATCAAATCCTCCATTTCCCTCATGTCCTCTGGGCAGACTCATAAAATTTATGCACAAATTAAGCAGGATTAATGCTAAACTCTATTAAATAGGATTTAGGGTGCATTAAATCCCTCAGATATTTAAATACTTTTGTTTCATTTGGCTCGATGAATATACAAAATTTTGCTGAAGAAGTGCACATAAGGGAAAAAATACCTTCATAGTAAGTGATTTCTTGTTGTTACCTTCGATCAAAATGTTATAACATTCGATCAGACGGTAAGAGAACGTCGTCAAAGGGGCGACATCGATTAGCAATGAAGGAGGCGGAGAAAGGCATGAAAGGAAGAAAGTTATATTCACATCAAGTGATTCCCATTGATCCTTCTGATTAAAATGTCATAACTCCCAAACCAATAAGAAAGGAATGTCGTCGATGGAGGTGAAGATGTCAGACGGGCTAGGGTTTCGAATGGGTAGGTGGAATGCTCTCTCTCTCTCTCTCTATTTGTGTGTGTATGTGTACGTGTGTGTATATAGATATATAAAAATTAAGAGGTAGAGGTGTCAGATAGGAGCTAGGGCAGAAGGAGTTCAATCGAATGGAAGGTTTGGTTTGCAGCATGATCTGGATCGGAAGGCAAAGTGACAGATGGATACAAAGAGAGGAAGCTGTGACTACTTGCAACAAGAGGTGAGAATGACAAGGTCGAATGCTTGGTTGGAGATCAGGAATAAGGTCATGGGCAGGAGAGGCAACTAGCAAGGGAGGAGAAGGATTTAAAGCTTGCTAGAGCTTTTGCATGGGTTTTGAGAAATAGAAGAATCAAATGAGAGGTATGTTTAGTGTCATATTTAATTACTCAAATGAATACACGCTCGAGGATCTCCCCATATTTAATTACTCATGAGAGTGAAAATAGGACTATAACATGCAGGATTTTGGTAGAGAATAGGGAATGGGCAAGGGATTTACATACAGGTAATGAATCATGCTATTTTTTTTATTTCTTCTTTTTTATTTCTTTCGGCTTCTTGATTAGAGGTTAACAAATGTCCCCAACAAATATAGTAAGTGGATATATGAAAGCTTGTTTAGATACCAAGGGTTCTAATCTAATGGATCTCCGAGAGCTTAATTGGATTTCATGCTAGGCATTCTTTTAGTGGATATATAAAAGCTTGTTTAGATACCACGCTATGTTTTTTATCATGTGGATCCCTAAGAGTATATTTTTTTGTCTTTATGGATCTTCAAATGCATTCATAGTCAATAATATGATTAACATATTAGCTTTAGTTAAGTAGAGATTTATGAGATTATGAAAGAGTATTTCATACTCAGATCCTTAGAATGTCACTTTATAGATTGATGGTAATATATAGCATCACCACTTTCTATTATTCTATTGCCACAATTATCACATTAGTTTCTAGCATTTTTGTAACTGCTCAATATCTTTCTCTGGGGCAATCATGTATAGATATAATATTTATGTTGCATATTATTAATATTGTTTGAGATTTATCTGACTTATATATATTTATCAGTTGGTTAAACTTTTTTGTATTTCATACTAATTTTATCTTGCTTAAAGTATAATTTTTGTTGATGGCACATTTGGTTTATGGAGGATCTTCCATTTTTTTCCCCTTTAGTTGCATTTTTGCAAGAACTTTTAAAAATTTATTTTGTGATCTTGGCATGCGGCACAATGTCGGCCCAAATAATTTCCCTGCTTGTGATTGTTCGACAAATCTCCTTTTAGGGATATTTTCATACCATAAATCCTAGACCATTTTGGTAAAAATATAATTCTTATTTAATGAATGAGGATTTATTCAATACCATAGCCTCAAGCAGAAATAAACTTGTTGTTTGGAGGTCTGAGTTTACCTCGTGTTCGTAACATTCTTTGGATATTTTTGGTATTATACCTAGGAAACCTCGTAGCTACTAATTCCTTGGAATCAACCAGTATACATAAATAGTTGAGATTTACTTCTTCTTCAAGCTTTCCAATTATTTAAAATAGACTTGCTGGCCCACCCCTTTTTCTTGGGGGAGGTGCATAGAATGTTACGAGTTCTTTGACATTATGCACCTCTCATGGAATAATTTTTAAAGTGTTACAGGGGAATACGTGTGACTATGAGTATGCTATTTGAGATCGACAGGCTGCCTACTCTTCTGGAGAATATGCCTTGCTCCATTATATATATATATATAGTGTCGTAGTCATAATCATTATTTAAATATTCAACCTCCCTACTCCATTTGGCCATTGACTAACATACTCTCTTGGATATTATAGGGGTGACATTATCTTCAACTATGTCACTTCCTAGATGAGGCACATGATTCCATTCTTTAGGAATGGTTGGTGCTTTGAGAAGAGTTAGTGTTGCCTTCTTTCACCCCACCTACTTCTTATTGCCTTCTTATTTAGGTTGCTTTGTAATCTCTGAATTCGATGCCTCAGCCTCAAGAGAGCTCGATGACTCATCTTCTTTAGAATGAATTATTTAGCATCTTCATAGATTATTACTTCATATATTGCAAAGGGCTAGATGTCACCAGATATCCTAAAGTCTTCTCCATCCCTGATGTACTTCATCCATTGATGTAGCGTTTACGGGGATGCATACTTCTGTTACCATGGGTGACCTAAAAGCGCCTTAAATATGGTATCTGCATCAATCACGTGATATTTGCTGCCTATATGAAGTTCTCCAAATGTGAGGGAGAGAATAAATAATCATAGGGTCTTTTTCCCCTTCTAATTAAAGCCATGTACCATCATCATATCTGGCCCAAGATGCTCCATGTCAAGGCACAACGATCTTAGTGCATTCAAGCTCATAAGATTTATGGAAGATAATATATCGGTGAGGATTCATCATATTATCATCCCATCACTTTCTGTAGTGACATACAGATGGTTATTATGATATTCTATTTTGAGCATCATATCCTCTTCAATGAAGGTGATGAACGGCTCATTATGAGCTTATAGAACTTCAGTCATATTGTGCTTGATAAAATATGCCTCGTACCTTTCGAGGTCCTTAAGAGCTTGAATCAAAGTCTCCTAAAGGTCATTAGACATTACGAGCATCATATATGCTAAGTTATGCCAGTATTTTCCTCAGATGGAATAAGACATTATAATATATCCCATTGGCTGAAGTATCTTTCTTCTTCGAGTCCTTGGGAATGATATCGTCATTGATAACTATATCTTTCTCCTTATCTTTATTGAAGATCTCTTTCTTTGGTAGGGGTGTCAATATCTTACCATTTCTTTGCTGCACTTGAGCAATCTCCTCTAGCATAAACTCATTGAATTGCACATTTCTTTTAGAGTCAGCCTTTGTTATGTCTAGGGATTCATCTATGGATTCAGAGTCACCACCTAGGTTTACATGTCCCATTTGAGACACTATGTCGAGGTCAGACTCATCTACCTTTAGAAAATATAAATCCTCCTCTGAATTATAATCCATCGATGATACCATCATATATGATTTAGAAGCCACCTCCTCAATGTATTATTCTTTTATTAACATATTTGGCACCATTGAGCTGACCCGACATACTCTACTAGAAGTAAATCCTTATTATCTTCTTTGATTTCATTTATTTTAAGCTCTGACATAATGTCAGCAAGCTTAATAGGTTGCCTCACAGTCAGAAAATATTCATCTATACTATCAATAACCCTTTGAACTGCCATCTTTTTCTCCTTGGGCTTCTTTTGCTCGATCTTCTTTTTAATGAATCTTACCTTTCTAGGCCTTAAAGAGCCAGCTTGGTTGGGAAATTATTTATAAGTAGATGCTTGTTATATAGGCAGAGCCTTCAAATCTAGCACTGGACAATAGGATATCTTCACTTCACACCCAAAATTCTATTAAGCTGTTTCAGCTTTTTCATTATCTTCTTGGAGATTATAGTCTCTCACTTCTCTTCTTATTCTGGTTTCTTTTCCTTTACTTTTACTTTAACTGGGGGTATGGAAGAGGATGTAACCACCATAGTTGATTCTTTTCATGGATGAGTCAACACATTGTCTAAAAATGTGAGCTCTTCTCTTCGATATTTCCTCTCCAACCAATTCTTGAAGATGTAACAATCTTCAATTGGATGACTGATTACCTAATGATATGGATAATAATTTGGGTAATCAGTATGTTTCGACTTTTCAGGCCTCTTGCACCTAAGAAGTTCTAACACTACTTTTAATGCTTGTCTAAATAACTTGGCGACACTCTCCCTCTTGAATGAATTCTTTATTCATCTTTTCTTTGAGGGATGGGAAAGTTCGATCATCAGTTCCCGTCATTTTCTTTGGGCACTCTCCACTACCCTAATAAATTAGTAACTTATCATTTCCTCCGAGTATCATCTTTGGTTGGGGGTTAGGGTTGTAGGCCTATTTTGACTTCTCTTTGTATTACATTGGTTACTTGCCTTTATCTAATTTTTAAATCACCTATTTATTTTATCAGCTATGGAGTAAAATGTAGAGTTGGGGACCGGGATTGAGGTCGTGGACAGGAGAGGCAGCTAGCAAGGGAGGAGGAGTCAAAGCTTGTGAGAGTTTCTGCGTGGGTTTTGAGAAGCAGAAGAAGCGATTGAGATGTCTGTTAAGTGTTATATTTAACGACTCAAATGAACGCATGTGAGCGACGGGACCATTCGGCGCTGTTGCAGATTGCCGATCGGATTGTAGCAAGCAGAATTTTGGCAGAGAGGAGGGAATGGGCGAGGGATTTGCGTACATGTAAGGATTCATGCTATATATATATATATATATATATATATATATATATCATGAATCCTTACATGTCAACAAATAATTTCTTTGGACTGCTTGAGTAGAGGTCAACAAATAACATGATTTTCTTTAACCGGATGCCATCAAATATCTTACGATGCACGAGATGGAGTTATTGCTTTAAGTGGATATGGGCATGTCTGTCAACGAAATGTTTTAGATAAATAAATGTTATATTTTTTGCTAGCTTCCACAGGGTTTTTGCTGGGATCTGCGAGCGATTTCTCTGTGATGTAGCATGCTGGATATCCTGTACCCACGATCAAACTGGCCAAACTCCTCAGGATTCTGCCGAAGCTGATCCTCTATTACAAGGCAAAAAAAAAAAAAGAAAAAAGCTTGAAATCTTTCATTTCCTTAAGGCACATAATCGTAGGATAGTATGGCAGACTACAGACAAGGAACAATGCATACAATTGAGTAAACTACTAGGATGTTAATTTCTTAATGGGTGAATTAATACAGTCATGTATCAAAATGACAACCCTGGAGAGTTGCTATAAACTCCCATCACGCAGGTCCCTTTGCACCTACGTTTCCACCAGTTTAACCCTCTGGTTTAACGCCTTTAACTTCTGCATGTTTTGCAACACTTTCTGCATTCTTTCCTCCAATCCATGCAGCTTCAGACTTGGCCAGCTTGCCTGCAGGAATGGAGGAAGCCAATCTGCTTTCAATGTCTCCTTTGCAGAATCCGTTGTCCGCTCGTGGTTGAGGCTGGCAAATGCGGCGAGCGCAGAACCTTGCAATGATACAGGCGGAAATGGAAAGTATGGTGATCACAGCCAGAACAGCGAAGACAGGGCTGTAGGAGCCGTTGGAGTGGGGTGACGTCGACGCATTCTGAGGATAAAGAACTGTGGCCTGAGGAATGGAAGACATCTCCTTATCCTGTTGATCCTTCAGCGAGCGAATTTCTCAGGACTGGCTACAAGTTTTTCCTTTCCTTGTGCTCTTGAGTAATGGCTAAGATTTGTGTTGAGGTTGCTTTAAACTAGAAATTGTGAGGGATGGAAGCGCTTTTGATTCCGATTCCTTACTCTTTGGCGAGGAAATAAGGCATGAAGCTTTAGAACGGGCCTTGAAGGAAGAGAAAGCTATGCTTGGCCTGGACTCGTACGATGATTCCATTCAAATTTACATGATAAATGATGGCAGGAATGATTATGTTCCTCTGTGCTGCATGTAAAGGTCGTTCGAAAACTATTTCAATTTTATTTTGAAAAATATATATTATATGGCATAATCTAATTGGTCATACCCGGGTCACTATTTTAAATGAGGCAATATGCTTTAAACAGAACGAGCTATCGGCTTTCTCGTTACGCAAATGCTTTTTCTAGTGCCAAATGAATAAATCACACTTTATATGCTTTAAACAATGTCTTTCTCTTCTATATATTTTTTCACTAACGCCAGTAATGGAACAAAGCTTATCTTTCAAGCCTGATGAGCTTGCTTTTCTGGTCCCTCTGATGACGAGTCTGTACCTTTTTCCTTCTTTTTATACAACTTTAGCATGTACCATAAAATTGATGAAATAAGATGGAGTTCCTAATATGTTAGCAGTTTTCCTAACTAATTTAGTGTTGCACACAACTCCCCTTGGCCTACTGGTTGAGAGCTTAGGCTTCCAACTAAGAGGTCCAAGGTTCGAGTCCATGTAGGGGTGTCAATTCGGGTCAACCCGTCGGGTTTTGGTCGAACTCGACCCTACCCGGATCTAAACGGGTCAACCCGGACCCGACCCGATTTAGTGTTGCCATAAAATTAACAAAGTTGATTAAAAAATTAATAAAAAGATAACATACTGATAGTAGAAATAAATATTAATCAATAAAGATAAGATATAGATTCTTATAAATAGGCCAAAAACTTGACCAGCTATGTTACATAAGTGTATGTATCATGTCAAATATAATGATGAGAGAGTTCCCATAATGATCAAGATTTAACTTTATTAAGTTAATTAATGACTTTTAGTCATCATTAAAATATCCCATCACACTCCAAAATTTTGATGAAGCAAAAAAAAAAACTTAAATTATTTTAATAATTTTCAAATTTTATAAAAACGCTAAAGTTATAATTAACAATTATGCATGTAAGTTATGTATTTAAAATATAATTGTGAACAAGAGCAAATTTAATTCCTTATATATATCAAACTCATTAGAATCCTAATAAAGTTAATTGGTCATCTTCTCCATAATGATTCTAAAATCATAGAAATTCTCTACATTTCAGAATTCTGTTATAGTCTCCCTAATAGTTCTATTGTCTCTGTTGAGATCATTAATTCGCATCAAATTTTAAACTTGCAATTATCCAGAACATAAATAATTAAATATTAGGATAAATGGAAGAATTATCGGCAAAATTAATCATTAGGCCTATTCTAACATTATGCAAATAACCATAATTAAATTATAATTCAGTGGAAAGATTTTAGTTATAGGAATGCAAATTAAGTAACACAAAAAAAATTACTTTATGATTAATTAAAAACGAAAACATAAACTAGAGTAAAAAAACAAAAAGAATTATTGTGTGCAATCAAGTTTTGAATTCCTTTCATCCTTTTAGGAATTATTCTCAAATTCCCTTCCACACTCTCACTCACTAACTACTACATTAACAAAGAAATTAAAAAAAAATAATAATAATAAACCTCTCTTTGTTTCAAATTAGGATTCATACTTATACACAAGCATCAAATATCTAGCTTTTGGCTCTAGCCAGCACACAACATTATGATGCTTTGGATATGGTGTTGTGGCACTCTACTTAAATTTACGTAGTGCTTTTGTATAGGGACGGAGCCAGGATTAATTATTTGAGGGGGCACAAATTTCTAATTTAGCATCTTTTAAGCTATTTGATTTAAATTTAAATATTGTAATCTTTCTCTAGTATAATTTGTTAGCTTTAATTATAAAATTTCATATAAAATTAAATTTGGAGATTTTAAAATAATTTTAAAAAATTGATGAAATTTTTAATTTTGAAAAATTAGTAATTTGAAGATAAATGATTAAAATGGGGAAAATATATAAATAAAGAAAGAATTATAAATGAAAAAAAAAAGTTTAAGATGATCTCCCTCTAATCAATGACATAGCAAAACAAAAATTTAGGATGGTCCAATAAAATAAAAAAAAAAAAAAAAAAAAAAAAAAAAAAACTCACCTCATAAGAGATATAATTGAAAAAAAAAAAAATTAAATTCATCTCATCCTAACGGTGTGGAGAGAGAGAGGAAAGAGCAAGGTTTTCAGAACCGGACCAGACAACGAACCGGAGGAAGGAGAGGTTTACGGTTCGACCGGTTCGACCGGTCGAACCTGGGTCGAACCGGATGACGTAATAAATAACAATATTATTAAAAAATTAAAATTAATGATTAATTTTTCTCTAATACATTCATTTTACATTCTATTTTCTATGTTGGCATAGAAATACAAAAAATCACATGAGGGAAATTATTGAAGCACATGAAACTATTGAGTTAAATCTCACATTAGTTATATGAAGAATACATTGGTATAGAAATACAAAAAATCATTGACCCTCCCACAAAACAAAATCATTGACCATGCTTTAGATAACATCCCGACATGAAAACCTACAGGACATTAACTTAGACTTTCAAACTCTAATTTGGTTCAAAACTTCAAATAAACTAAACATGATCAAACAAAACCTATAGTCAAACCTTGTTTATAATATAAACTTAAACACAAAACACTCATACTAAATCTAATAATCATCAACAAAATCCGTGAGATCAAAAGATGGATTCTCAAATTCTCCTTCACCAAAATCTTGCATCACAAATGCTTCTGCATCCTCACGTGGTATGTCATCTTCATCACATGTATTAGCTAAGTTGTGTTCATCTACAAATCATTAATGTGAAATAATAAGTTTATATTTTATATTACACTCAGAAGATATAACTTATTTTACAATCTTACATGGGGTTTGTCCAGTTGATGGTATGTTTGGTTGTATATCTATAGGAATTGCATCATCTTTATAAATTTCTGTCTCCAAATCTTCTAGATGCAATTCTGGAGTTGGCTCATCATCAAGGATCCAAAAGTCAATAAGTTCAATACTTGTGTAGTCCAAAGGATCATAACTTCTTTTTCTAGACTGTAACCTAATAAACAAGAAAATTTATTAATGTTCGACTTCTTGTATCTGTCCAACCATCAGCCATCAACGTACAACCCGTTTCTTTCCATGTTCTCCTATAAGAGTCAATTAACAACTTGCATTCTTCCTTTGCATCTCGTAGTAGGTTCACTCTCAATCTGTGGTAAGAAGGTAATTTATAACCAGGTCCTATTGCGGCAATTGCATCAATAGCCCTTTGTGCAAAAGGTGAATTTATAGCATTGAACGGAATGCAACTGTCATAAAACCACCTAGCAACTGCCAAATCAGCACGATGTACTGCATCCTTAGATGCCATTACACTTTTGAGGGATGGCTGAGATCCTGGTTTTGTTCTAGGTGCAAAAAAATTATCTTCTTCATTAATTTTTCTCTTCCCTTTATCAATGTCTTTACCATGTGTATCAGAACTTTGTGATTTTATGACTGAACATGAGCCCCTCTCTTCCTCAACTGGATTGTCACTAAATAGATCAACAGTTTGGGATAGGTCTTCTTGTGCTAGTTGTTTTCTCTTTGTTATTTCAGTCAAATTCTGTTGCATCTGATATCGGATGTCATGTGGCACCTTCTTACAAGAAGCAATGTTACCTTTAATTCCTGCTAAATGCTGCTTCATCCTATTAATACCTCCACCCTTATAAATTGTTCCACAATGAAGGCATTTATATTGCTTCCTCCCATCAGCAGTTTTGGACTCAGTAAAATGGTTCCAAGCAATATCTACCTTCTCCCGTACGCTTTGACTCAGAGGAGCCAGTGGATTATTTTGTTGATCCATTAAGCTAAAGATACGATTAGAGATAAGTTAATTAAAAGAAACTTCACCATTTAATGTAAAAATCAAAGGATAATTCTAATTGAGAAACTTCAAAGACAAAGCATCACATAATTGGTGTGGTCGAGAAAATATTTAACGAAAAATCAAAGGATCTTAACGAACTATGTAAACTCCCTTGTGTTCATTTCCTAATATTTTTCCTTGTAGATTATTTTTCTCATTCTCATGATCGTTATTGTCTTTGAGCATGTGCTTTTTCCCATTAATTGGTATAGCTTTGAAGTCTGAGAAAAGTGAGAATAATGACACGAGTCACATGAAGATGGGTGTGTTAATTTTTAATACAAGTCACTTAGTTGAAAGTTACTTTCTATAGAAAAAAAAGAACTATATAATGATGGATTTTAGTAATGTAATGAATAGATACTATACTTCTTAGCCGTCTCACTTCTTTTTAATATTGAACTTTAGGTTCATGTTAATTTGTAATAATGACTACATAAACATTTACTAAGTAGGATAATTCAAATGTATGAAACCTAACTTGCACGCTCATTTATCCTAGACTTATGTTTCTGACCAGAACAGAAAACTGAAACATTTAGTTAGGGAATATTTCAAACTCTATGATTTTCACAGTAAAACTTCTTGACTTTATACAAAAATAAAACTGGTGTGACAGTCCTATTCAGGAAGGATTGCAAGGCCAAGAGAGTCATGCCTTCTCGCCATTTCTAAATTTATTTAAACCGGTGTGACAGTCCTATTCACAAGATACTTTGGCTCGGTTTGCACCAACTTTAATGACAAAATTCATGCATTGAGCTTATTTTCATCACTACTAGAAAGCTAGGCTCAATCCCTAAAACCCCCAGCAAACCGAAATTTGAGAAAATGAGAAAATGCAGGTTTTCGGTTTGATTTCCGAAAATGGCTCAAGGTGTAAACCGAAATTTGAACTAACCGTGGAAGAAATGCAGGTTTTCGGTTTGATTTCCAAGCCGAAGATCATACGCCCAGCAAACTGAAATTCGAAAAAAAAAAATACATTTTAGAATAGGAAAATCAAGTTAAAAACATACATGAAAAAAGAAAACAACCATTGATTCATGTATGTGATTTTGAGTTTTTTTTTTTTTTTTAAATTAGAAACAAAGGAATGAAAGGAATCAAAGGATACAAAGTTAAAAACATACATAGAAGGCTCGTAAGCTCGTTTGCCCTCTGTCTTCGCGAACGAGCTCTCCTCTTCGGTGACGACGGCTTCAGCCTTCACGAGTTTGCGACCGGACGAGCGTCTGGGAAGAG